CAGTCCAAGAACACAGTAGATATGTAGGTTTATTGGAAGCAGCACCGGACAGGAACGTCTGACGGAGTAGAATGAGAAGACTCACAAGAAACTCTGGGTATTGGCTAACAGAGCTACGTACAATGCGCGGGTTTGCAAAGTCTGTGATAACATGTACAATTGACAAGCTCAATTATACTCTACAACAGCTTAGTACATGGCCCATCACAGGTGTACAATTGTGGTAATGAAGTTCACGGTAATGTGATACAACTGAAAAGCTCAGCGAATTTCAGACAGCACCAAACCATAACCTGATGTCATGTCTTATTCAAAAGAGCATGTCGACCGTGATGTCGGCTATATTCTGCTATCTTCTACGGGAAAAAGAATTTATCGCTGCTGGCCGTAGCATTCTGAGGGAATATCCTGATATAAGGTGAGCTTTGTTTAAATCATTCACTTTTATTACTTCTATAAATCTGCTATAGCTATACTAATACTTTATTGGCTGATTGTAACACCACTTGATAAACATTCTATTTACTTATAGATATCATCTTAAAAGTATCATCACAATTCAACCCTATCGGTAAAACAGAATCCTAGAGAGCTAGTGACGACGTTCTTGTCATGGTAGCCAAATGCGTGATGCTGCACTCATGTGCCAGGACCAACGAAAGCGGTCTTCCCGGCTACGTTTGAGCAGGGTGAAAAAGGGGGGTCATAAGTCTTACTTGCATGGTCCCCTGTTGTGAGTGTAATTGTGCTTACAAGCGAACAATCGGGACGGGAATACCTCCAGGATGAGTTGTTTTCTGCACGTCCCTGTTGCCTTCCCTCTCATCAGGAAAATATCTTGAACAATCATCAGAAGATAACTTTGCGAAAGAAGAAACCTCACGTAAAACCAATCCCACAATCCAAAATTGAAGCGCTCAGACTCCAGTCACCATCGCCAGCCTAAGTTACGGTTAAGTATAGGTCAAACCGAAAAGATTAACCTTTATACACACATCTGATAGTAACTGAAAGCAGTACAAACTGTAACTACCTACTTTCTGAGAAGTGTACCCAGCGATATCGTTCTGAGGAAGGTGAAACTACTCACTAAAACCACTCTTACAGATTTTGTGAAGGAAAAAACGAATTCAAAAGTGTCATGGCTATGGAGAGGGGACTGCAGTCAGATGGCCCCCAGTTTGATAAATGGAAGTTCACTATGGTCACCCGAGAACCTGTCGATCGATTTCTGTCCGGGTTCATTGACAGATGCATACGGTACGTTTAGAATTTGGACCCATAAAACGTCTGCCTCTGCCTAGGAGAATAGACGTTCTTAATTCTACTTATCTAGCTGTCTGTGTGCTTGCTTGCTTTTCTGCCAGACTTTCTTCCTCTCTCGGTCGCTCGGCCTGTCTGTCTGTCTGTCTGTCTGTCTGTCTGTCTGTCTGTCTGTCTGTTTGTCTGCCTGTTGTCTGTATGTTTGTCGGTCTGTCTGCCTGTCTCTCTGCCTGCCTGCCTGTATAATCAGTTATTCTTATTATTATCAGCAGACTGCAAGCTGCCTCCTGCTTAAATCCAGAAATTTCTTCTTCTTCAGAGTAGGAGACTCATGTTTCGGATGTGGTATCAATATGACGTGTTTCCTTGAGGAGGAATTGAAGAGGTGACAAAGTTCCCTTGCTTTGCAGTTTCAATAGAATTCCTCGGAGGAGGTCTGTTTCAGGGCCGCAAAGTACGCATACGGTGATAGCCACGGTTTTTGGAAACCTAAAATAACTATGGAAGATATCCACGTTTTTCCGCAAAACTGGTAAGCAGGATGTGAATCTGAAGGGAAAGATCTAGTAAGTAGCAGTAAGATTGTGAAATTAAGGCGATGCGATATGGGCACATTTTATGATAGATATCATTTCATAAGATATTCAAACGATCCCAGCGAGACACTTCTGGAAGATCTGACGCCAATTCTGAGGTCTCAAAATGTGAGTCTTCTCATATCTCATCAGCAATTTACGAGCACTAGCCGAATTTAAAAAGCAACTGGCCATTTGAAACCCCCTCCCATTGAGGGTAGAAGTAACTCTGGAGTGGCCTCTACTCTCAGTGGTGTCAGGCGGTTAGCAAATCAGAAGCAGACTAGGCACTGCGCCGCTCAGTGGCTGGCCCTTTGGAGTACAGGGAGGGACCGTAAAGGAGGCAAATGATGTTTTCGATGAGATTTCTGCTATCGAAGATGGTCGCTAGAAACTGAACAGAATAAAATTAGCTCGACATGACTTCGCTAGCCGTCAATCAAACTGTCTGTGCAAAATTCTTCACTTCCTTGGAGTTCAACTCCATTTTATAGGTGTCTGAATCATCCATCAACTACATTTCGGAATCACTTCGTTCCGGGCGCACTGCACACAGCACCGTCAAGTCAGCAGCACGGGTTTTCCTAGAGAATCGAATCCGTCACAGCCCTTATCTCATGGAGCTAATTGTTCGGCTATTCTACTACGATTACACGTTGCTCAACTACCCTCTGCCAGATTTGGATGCCCTTGCGGAACAGAAGGCTTTCCAGAGTGATTCTACCATGTGACATCTTTAGTCAACCTTTCAGTCTTTCTTTTTATAGCATGGCTATCATGATGCTCTAGGCGATGATTTTTTACGAGAGTTATAACTACAAATTAAGAAAAAGCTCCATAAAATATCGGCATATAAAAGATCGGGTAGTATATTTTTTCATAGCAATAAATGTTTTTAATGAAGCGTTAGTGGATCATGAACCGATCCAAAGTGTTCGATTCAGCTCAAGATCCGTCTCATTCCCAAATTCTAGAAACACTGAATCGAGTCAAATTATATAGTAGTTCGAGAAGAGCTCAGGATCCTAAGTGAGTTTCTACTGCTCTAAATCAAGTTGGTACCCAAAAACTACCCACTCAGTCCTCAGTGTTTTGAAAAATATCATCTATCAGCTCGAAGACGATTCTGATGTTATTTCACTAATTATTCGCCATAAAGGTTCAATTCCGAACTATTTCTTTTAAAACATCAACAGCTCACACATCCATATATGGTATAATCCGACCGGGCAGCGTTCATAGTCCGCAGCGAGACAACTGACCAATAATCGCCGAGCAGATCGGGACCCCAACTACACCTACTCGGCTCATATTGTTGTGGAGACAAGGCAGGACTTATGAAACAAAAAAAAAGCGATGTCAACAAAAACAAAAAAGACAAAACAAAAACAAAAAAATCAAAAAAAAATCTCAAGTGAGATTTATGTCCACGTTATACACAATTGCCAGGTATGAATTTCAATAGTACAAATGGAAAAGCTGAAACTGTAAAATCTCTAAATCATTACTTTTCTGTGCTTCTTCTCTTAATCCAAAAGATCGTTAATGAGGGCACATTTTCGCAGACCAATAAAACATTCAGTTCATGGTACATTTCTTTCTTTGGAGATGTCCTTTACATCAACATTCGCAATCTACATCGCCTTGCAAACTTCCTGTTTCAGTTTTCTCTTTCCTGTCCTCCTGGCAACTTGTTCCTTCCTTCCCAATGAAACCCGTTACCCTTCGATTAATTTTAGAAAACATATTTGCTTTGTTAAATTCTATTTCTTTCATAGATCAGAATGACAAGGCTATCAGAGGAAGGCCAAGTAAGGTAAGGTTAGGTCGCTGGGCAGAACATTAGGCCCTTGCTCCGCTTTCTTCAGCCTTAAGTTTTCATTTTTGAGTATTTACTGGTTTCCAGAGTTGAACGGGAACAATAACCTAAAGAACAATTTTGAGATTATATGATTCTTCCGGGGCGAAGGTGGTATAGTGGTAAGTGGCGCACAGTAACACNCTACATCGCCTTGCAAACTTCCTGTTTCAGTTTTCTCTTTCCTGTCCTCCTGGCAACTTGTTCCTTCCTTTCCAATGAATCCTCTTATCCCTTCGATTAATTTTGAAAGTTTATTTGCTTTGTGAAATGCTACTTTCCTTCATAGATCAGAATGAGAACGCTATCAGAGGAAGGCCAAGTAAGGTAAGGTTAGGTCGTTGGGCAGAACATTAGGCCCTTGCTCCGCTTTCTTCAGCCTTAAGTTTTCATTGTTGAGTATTTACTGGTTTCCAGAGTTGAAGGGGGACGATAAGTTGGAGAAAAATTCTGAGATCATATGATCCTTTTGGGACGGAGGTGGTGTAGTGGCAAGTGGCGCACAGTAACACACTCATCCTGGATTGACACTAGTCCGTGCCAACCAAAAGTTCCATCCCTCTAGGGTCGGTTGAATGGTACCAGTCCCGTCTGGGATAGTAAACGACTGACCCTATCTTTATTTATCAAGGGCTGGTTACCGAAGAGGGACTGTCCAGTACGGATCAGATAGTACAAATGGAGTAGCTGAAACAGCAAAATCTCTAGATCATTCTGTGTTTTTCTAATCCATAAGATCGTTAATAAGGGCACATATTCAGAACGCCGAAGGCTTCCCAGCTCTTAATGGGCTTAAATTAGTTAATAAATTGTTTAAAATTGGACAGATGAAGCAAAAGTTTGGTCTTAAATTGGCTTGTATGTTGCTTTTCAGATTGAGGCCTGATTCAGGCCATTTTTAGTGTTTGAGAATGTTTGACGAGAAGCCTACCAAAGCAGAGTACGGTCAAGTCGGACGAACCAAACCAATTGAATACTCTGCCTTTCTGCCTACACGATTGAGGTACTTAACTGTAAAAGTTGAATACTTACTGCTGCTTTCCTGTAGTTGTGGAGGTGCAAGCGGGCGATCTCCATTTTTCAAGAGAAAAGCAGTCAAGTTTCACAGCAGTGCTATTCGAAAAATAAACGTATTTCAGATTATCGCATATTTCAATGTTTGTTTTTATTCTATCTGCTTCAGTCTTTGCATTTGCAGAATATCGCAGAAGAACAGCCGATAGTGCCGTATTCAAAGAGTCAGTGAGTGAATTCTACTTCTATAGGCATGTGTTCCATTTTTTGATCAAAATAACTCCAGTGTTCTCGGAATTTTCACTGACAGAAACTAAATGTAATTGGCTTGTTGCGAAGTTTCCTCTCAAATGAAGTCTATGGGTAAACCCATCAAGTGTTCTTCCCATTTCAGCTTCCAGGGACCTAATACGATCTAGTATTGACCTCATACGATCTGAGACCCGGGTCGTACTAGGTCAATACCGGTTGAATCCAAGATCAACACTCACTCCAGTCATTCGAGCCTGACACCCTTCGAATGAGGTTGACTAATTAGTACCAGGCCTATCTGAAAGAATAAAATTACTGGCTGTATATTAGTCGGGCACCGCAAGTCATTGTATAGGTCGCATACGCATTCAAAACGCCACCAGGGTTCTGTGAAAGTTGAGTGTCTGGCGTATCCCCAGAAGAAGTTGATTAACGTCAAGGACCCTATATCTTACTTTGTCCAAGCCTGAAGTCATGTCATTGCTCTTATTACAGTAAAACAATAGAGCAGAACTCTATTCAGACGTTATCGAAGAGACAAATCGCTTCGGTTGGGAAACGTAATGTGGAACAGGAAACGACCACGCAAAAAGGTCTCATCCTTGATGATCTGGAAACTATCAAGCTGAATAATGCGGATGTAAGTACTTGCTAAATCTATACAAAAAAGTAACCCAGACTAGTCGATACACATATTTTGTATTAACATATGCCTCCGCTTCTATAAGTTCACTATAAACCTAGGGTTCTAGCGAGAGTCAGCTTGGCTTCTTCTACCAGAGGTACTCATTTTCACTTGAAGGACGATATTTGTGTCAGCTCTCATTATCTACTATCTCAATTGTTGTACTGGGATCTCTTACATCAGTGAATCCATGAAGATTCAAATTCCAAATTCCATGAAGATGCTCCTTTCAAAAAACCTCTGAAGGGACAGTTAACCACTATTCTAACTCCTAGATTTCCTCTGATACCATCCCACCTCTCAAATTCTTCGTATCAGTAGATGAATTCTTCAGGAGCACTTAATGGTTGAAGCCATTATTCTGGGGAACTACCACGGTGTAGTAACCAATCAACTTACCAGCTTACACGGACCACAATTTCCAATTGTTTTGCAGAATCCTCGTTTTTTTTTCAGCTGCTCCCTCCCAGAATGTTTGAAAACCTTACTGCTGATCAGTTATGTCAGTCAGCATCGACTGGATGTCTCAGTCCTTTTATAAGGACGACTACTCTACTATCCGTAAGTTCCTATGACTTCTCTATGGATGAAGGTGGTGTAGGCCCAGAAGGCTTTTCAACTGACCGGTATCTATCTCAGCAAGCCAAGTCCCACCATTCCCAACAGCTCAAGAAGGGTAACCGATGCTCTTTCAAGATTTCGATCCTTTCAGACGGTCCTCTATTAGATAATGGATGTGTCTGGGGTGAATAGGAGGAACGGGTTCTGTCCATGAGAATGAGGGAAGCAAGAAAAGAAAACGCAACAAGATGAAATGACGATAGTGGAATCAGACCTTCTAAACGACTTTTAAAAACTGTCTATCGAACATTTTGAGGCAAATAAAGTTGGGTCAGTCTGAATGCGATCCACAGAAAGGCGATACATTTCATGATGTGGGCACTGTGCTACCTCTGCTCTAAGTTCTGAGCTGCGACCTTTCAAAGGAATACATAGTTTTATAAAGTTTTTAATTTCAGACGGCTCCAAATTATCGTCTGGCTACTTGTCTTGTGCACAAAAATATGTCCACCCTAATGTTAAATATAATCTGTTATCTCTTGAGGGGACAAGTGTTCATAGACATGGGCCGGAGTTTATTGAAAGATAACTGGGACACATCGTGAGTTTGTAGCCAAAATATGCTTTACAATTTTCAAAATGTTTTCATTCTATCAATTTATTCTTTTCCTACTGTATTCCTGTAAAATCACAGAACATGAAATTTTGAAGCGGTACA